AAATGGGCGATGTTTGCATTGAATAAATTTTAATAGGAGTACGGGACTTAATCCGTATGCGATGAATAAATAATCAAAAGTGAAAAGAGCTTTACAAACGGTTCCTCTATCTAGATTTGATGATGATTTAAGGCACTGAAGTAGGCTATACATATAATAAATAGGTGTCAGCTCAACTATATATTTATTAAATACAATTTATTATGACAAGCAGTGGTTAGGTTTGGCTGCTATATGATTTATATTAGCTCGTTTCATGTCTATTCAACGAAAATCGATGGGAAAATAAGTTCATAATAGCAAACAAATGGTAAGAAAGGGCATTAAGTCTCTTAAATCGATTCGAAAGTGGTGTACTATATATTCGAGCGTAATTGACTTTTGTCCAGTATACGAATTTACATTACTTTTTAGTCCCCTGAGATTCACTTTTCAGTACTCAAGTACTTGAGCTTAAAGCCTAGCTAATCGATTGGCAAATAGTGCACTCGTCTAATCGATGACTTTCTGATAGTCTCGATTGCACTTCTACTCCTACTTAGTGCCCACCCCAATTGCTGCTCGATTCACGCCTCATTTGAGTGGGCCAAAAAATGAAGGGCGACGTCAGCTTCAGAAGGGCGAGCGATTAATTATGCGCATAGCAAGTTTCTGACTGGCAGTGGGTAGGGGGCTAAGAAGGGCCATCGGACGGGGGATATCCTTGCTTCCACTTTCGGCGCACATGTGACGTGTTGGTGTTGGCATAATATATGCATTCTTATTAACAATCTCGTCGCCATTCTGACTCTCAACAACTTTGGAACTCGCCCACCACCCATGCCACACAGAGCCCCCTTTTTTCGGGTTCCCATCCCCGTCCCTTTGTGGCTGCTTCATTTGGATGTGTAAACGTGTTATTTATTTTCCCTGCCCCATCTGAAGCAGGGAAAAAATAAAATGGAGAAGGAAAGCTGAATGTTGCCTTTTAAGTGGCAATAAATCAAATTGTCCTGTTCTCTGCCCTCAGGGAAGCTGGGAAGCTGGGTAGCTGCCTGCGCTCTTTAGAGGGCCTCCAGATGGGGGCGGCGGCCTTCGGTTTGTGGGAAGGAGGCGTGGCAGTCAGTCAGCGAGCTGTTGGCAACTTACTTTCATATTTGACTTAGTCATAAAAGGCAAAAGCGATTCGCTTTCAAGCTAGCCAAAGCAATACGTATCCACACTGCAATCAAAGCCTACATTCCCTCTTTCAATTATAATAGTTCATATCTTTTTTAATGATATTAAGTTTACTTTCATTTGCCCATAAAACTGTCAACTATACAAATTTACATCCATTTGAGCGAGGCAAAATTAGGTTATTATTGATAATATTTTTCTGTGTGCTGGTAAGCAAGGACTAAAGACTAAGGATCTGACCCCCCCACCCCCCTAAGTTAGTCATCTGTAAGCCACTGAAATATATGTAAGTGTGTGTGAGAGCGAATGCCTGGATGTGCTTGTGTGTGTGGCATCGCGGCTTTGTGTGCTGCGCTGTTTGTTTAGCGTTCCTTAAGCTCTTAAGCTCATTTCGGTTGCGTTTTATTTGTAACTTGAGGCACCCTACACACACACACACACACCGAAATACTCACACCAAAGCTGACTTTATTTATTTTAAATAAAGCTGCAAAGCAGCTAAAATATTGAGTCCAACAATTGCAAGACGACAGCTGCAGCTTCAAAATTAAACCAAAATCCAAAGGAGAAAATCCAAAACCAAAGTATAAATGGGTGTACTAAGTAGAGGCAAAATGTTGAGGATAATTGAAAGGTGTTCGGGGTGTACAATATAATAATTCCACAAAATGTTATCAGACAGCGACCTGCATTTCTCCAACCCGAAAAAAAAGCCTGAACATACAACAAAAAATGTATCAACAAGTGTTGTGGCAAAATGAAAGTAAACCTCTTCGCTCCAGGGTATTTATTCTAGAGAGCAGTATAAACGATGAACAAAGATAAGGTAAAGTAGGCATATACATGGTTTTGACATTTTTAAACTTTTTTGTGGATTTTATGGACCTAATGGAAAAACAGCGTGCTCGTAATGTGATTTTCGGATTGATTGTAGTCAAAAACAGCAGAAAAGATCACAAAGAAAAATATCCTAGGGTGCTTTGCGGTCCACACACTCGCGGTATTATTATGCTCTTTTATTCATGCAAACAGCACCACGACCACGCCCACCGCCCACCGCCCATTTCGAATGCTGGTGCATGTCTTTGTGGTGCTTTGCGCGCTTAGTAACAACAGAATTTAACACCTTTTGATCGGCAGACAGCAAACGACCTGCGGGAGTGTCAGAGTGTGAGTGTAAGTGTGAGTGTGAGTATGAGTGCGAGTGCTGTTTGTGTAGTTATGGCACAAAATAAATTCCTGTAAGCTTTACTGAAGGGCACACACCCACACTTGTACACATAGCACCAACACACATGCAGAGCAAGAGACTCGGAGACTGCGAGTCCGACTTACATATGCTCGTTATTCATAAACTTAATGCCAAAGAGAGCATAATTTTCATTTTGCCAGCGTTTTGGGTTTGGTTTGGCCCCGTTTTTGGAGCCCCTCCACCACCCATGGCATCGAACCACCCAAGAATGCACGGCAAATAATACTCATAGGTTTTGGACTTTCATTTAACCATTTCAAAGTGATTTTAAAATGAACCTGCTACTATTTATCAAAGTCCTATTAAACTCTAAAATATCTTCTTAGGTAACACAGTCTTTTGCATGATTCTGTCATAACTCTGATTTTCTTTCAGTGCCAGACCAAGGCACATAAAAGCCAAACATTACCAAGAAACAGGCAACAAGGTGCCGATGGGAAAGGGGAACGAACAGGCTGCGGGAACAACAATAAACTTGTGTAGCTGCGTCGGTAAGTGGGAATTATATAAACATATACATCAGTGAGCAAACACTCACACAACCACCGCAGTACACACACATACACATGCAAAATGGCAGCTGTTGCGGCTTCATATCGTCTGTTGAGATCGCCATTCGCTATTCCCCTTTGCAGCTCACGCGGCGTATGAGTAATATGCGTAGTCGATGAGGTACTGACTGAACGAATGGCTGACGGACGGATGGCAGACGTGAATGACGTGCTCTCGATGCGAACTAATCGGCAATCGATAGAAAAGTTGATTGAGAAATTGCAGGGAGGGAGGGTGGTATTATTTTTTAAATTATAAAATGTAAAATTTATCGGTTGGACTGTCTCGAATGAGACAAATGGTCAAAATTTAACATTTCTAGGCTTGAATGCCACTTTGTTGGAAATTTCATTACAAATTCAACGGTGTATGGCATTCTATATTTGGACAACTATTTTCTTAGTTATGGACAAAAAACAATCACTTTTGTATGGATTTCCACAAAAAAAAAATTTCGCCATTTTTCGCATTTTCGGAAAGGGGTAACATCATAATTTTTTGCGAAAAATAGTCAAAATTTTACATTTCTAGGCTTGAATGCCACTTTGTTGGAAATTTCATTACGAATTCAACGGTGTATGACACTCTACATTTGGACAAATATTTTCGTTGTTATAGACAAAAAACTGGTTATTTTCGGCCTAAAAATTAGAATCTATTTCAAAACATATGAATACTTCTTTGGCAATTTTAGGCATAACTTCCTGGAATGGGATCGTAGAATGTAAAGAATGACATCTAATTACCATTACTAACGGTCTCAATAATTCGAAGTGATTTTTACAAATATCAAATCAAATATAACAATAAGCTTTAATGGAGTCTGCTTGCCTCTGCGAACTCTGCGAGTTTAGACCCCTGATAATCACTTTCGCTAAAGTTTAAAGGTCTTAAGGTCATGCACATCAGCTAAGTGGAAGACCCCCTTTCCACATCCCTGCATTTGAACCGGAGGCCAGAGCGACGTTGTCGTTTTCTTATCTTCTTGTCGGGGCATTCGCTCGATTCGTATTTCAATTATGCATTCCGGCAGCACGACCATGGATGCTGCAGTGCATCCGTCTTTTGCTCCGTTTCCCCTGCCCCTGGATCTACTCGGAGACCCCCAAACCCACTTTTGAACCTGCTGCAGTGCACTGAAAACTGCAGGAAAATAAGAGCTATACGAGAGTGGGTCGAAATTTTCTGTTACATTCCGTATTCCGGTCATTAATACGCCATCAACAGCTTGGCAGAGCAGAACGGGACGGAGGGTGGCAGGGTTAGAAAGGGAGAGAGCATAGCTATCCAGCATCATACTCATCGTCATAGTGATAGTTATAGTCATCGTCAAAGTCGTAGCCATTTCCATAGGCACACAGGGAAAACTCTTCGACTCAACACGAACTTCACAACGAATCGAAACTGAATACTAAAACATTGTATATATTACATTATTATAAGAGCAACGTGTTATTTTGCTAAGCTCGATATCGAAATTAGGGATTATTTTCATGGTTCATTTGGAATTATGGTCCTTTTTCCCTGTGCATCATCATGGGCACGTCACGTTGGCCTAGCCGTCGCACTTGGATTTTTTTGTTTGTTCCTGGCCGCCGGACACGCACGGACGGACTGTGGAAATGCAGCTGAAAAATCCACCCACTTTTCAACCCCGCAGAGCTCTGAAGCCGGGTAAAATGCGAGTGTCTGACGTTGTCGTTGTTGCCATTTGGTCTGTGGAAATGTTGCACGCACGGTCGCGCACCTGAATGAAATAAGATGAAATGCTAATGATGGCAAAACATTCAAATACTGGGGCTTACGGTCCTCAGATAAAGCAGAGCGATACACTCAAAATCTGTCCGAATTCAATTTTATCTAAGATTTTGGAAAAACATATTCTGTGTCAGAGCCAAGAGTGCTTCTCTTTAAGAATGTACATTAGCTTTCACTCTTTGATAGTTGGTCCCAACTTTATAAAATTGTTATGCAAAATGTTGGTATTGAAACCTAATTGCCTGTTTATTTTCCCTCAATATTTGTACCTTGTGTATCATAATTTGTAGTGTTCGCATAAGTGAAATATGGAGCACAAGGCTTTGATTGACGAGTCGTCCGCGGAAAACAAGCCGGCAATTTGTCCCTTAGCCAATTGCCAGGCTGTGGTGAAGCACACCCACTTGCTGCGCCACATGATTAGCGAACATTTGGGTTCGCGGGCGCGCACTTTGCCCTTTCAACTGCGGCTACGCGAAGTGTCAACTGGTCAGCGCACCCTGCTGATGCTCGCCTATCGCCAGCTGATCGTGGATCATGACCAATGCCTGGCCGTGCTGAATTGGAGCACCGATTCCCGAATCGACCTAATGGCACCGCAGTTGGACCTGCCGCCCTGCCACCAAGGATTGACCTTTCACCTGCCCGTTTTGGTGATGGTCTGCAGGACCACCTGGAAGTCCCTCTTGAAGCAGGGCCTGCAGCATGAAAACGACGTCCAAGTAACCAGGGACTTGACCACGGAATGGGGCACTGTCTATCTGCTTTGGCTCGTTTCACCCTTTACGCGGCGTCCCATTTATGTAAATATAGCCGTGCTGAACAGCCAGTTGCAGTGCGTGGTTCGGCGAAATCGCCGGCGGGTTCGCAACTTTGCCAGCCGGATGCCCATTAGCCAGTTCATCAACGGGCTGGATCCGTTCTTTGTCAGCCTCAACGAGGATCAGCTCGACGAGCTGTGCGATGGCAGTGGCAATCGGGTCTCCGTCTTCTTGGAGGTCATAATTAAGGGCGAGACGTCATAGAAATGTAGCCCTATTAATGTGATTCCTTTAAACGATTGCTTGTAATTAGGTATGCAAACGTAGTAGACACAGAATAAAATCTCAAGTGACAACTATGATTTAATGTTTGTCTCAATATTTGCGCATTTATGCAATTTATTGCAAGACTGGGAAAAAGTAATTAACAACTTGTCGAGTTTTCCTGGGTCTTCAGCGTTCCAAAGTTGGTTAATATGTTGAAATCAATCTGGATTGGGGCGTGGCACACTTTGGCACCTTGGCACACAAATTTGGCATCGGTTTATGGCCAGGCTCACATTATTGATTCCGCTTTGCCAACTTTATTGCCCCTTTTTTCTGCCTTTTCTGGGGCGTCACTGTTTTTATGGCCCGAACAGATACACCGGATTCCTCGAAGCTGCAAATGTGCCATAAATTGTTGTCCTTATGTTTTTATGTCCTGGCAGTCAGTCGACAGGACGGCCGCAGCGGGCAGATCAAATCAGATCCGATCGATTGGGTGTTTTAAGTGATTTTCCCTGTCGTTCTGAGGATATCTGAACTAGAATGTGTTAAATTTTTAATATTTCGAGTGGAAATCAGATCGTTAAAAAGTAGAAACCGGGCACGAACTAATGCTAAATACCCAACAACAAAAGTTGCTGGACAACCAAAAGAACCAGTGAAGCAAAATATGTAAGTAGTGGCTGAGTGGAAAGTGGAAATGTCTAGAATTTTTTTTCGCTGCTTTTAGGAAGGAGGTAGTAGTAAAAAAAAAAGTACTGCAAATAAAAAGAAGAAAGGGAACAAAGAGTAGACAATGGCAACTGCCAGGGATGTGGGCTACTTGAGATCCCAATATAACGCGACGACATGTTTACGATGCATTTGTATCTGGGCATAACAGCCCTAACTTCCCTTATAACCACCTTATCCTATGTATGCTCAGATGTTGGCATTTTCATCGGTTAGCCGGGCTGGATAAAAAAGAAAGTAGGAAACGAAAAAAAATCAGTAAAGTCGGCGCAAGGATTTGAAATTCTCGTTCCATTCATTCACTAAAACCTCTGGCTGTCGGTCCGTTTGTCCGCAATTCTGTCCGTCCGCATGTCTGTCCATCTGTAGTTCCGTCCGTTCGTCTCCATACGTGTGCGTGCTCCAAAATCGAGAAACATCCCTTGGGTGGGGCAACAAGGACAACGATGAGGACACATAAAGGCTAAATTGAGCTTGAATGTGCGCCATGGAAGACATTGCCTGGCCAATGGACAAACACTCAAGTCATTTATCCCACCTCCAAGCTCTAAAAATACTACACGTATATCTGGCAACCACCGGAGCCTATTGAATCGGAAAACTCAATGGATATAACCATTCAATTGCGTCCTACAAGTGTATAATTACGCCGCACAAAGGAACTCTGGAAGAGGCAGCACCGATATTTGGATATGGCCCATCCCAATCTCATACTGAATCCGTTTGCCACATCGCCTGCCACCCAGAACGTGTTAACACGAAGGCTGAAACGTGTGCTTTTGGCCCAGTGAGTGGGAGCCATCAGGGCAAGTCGTGCTGCCTGTCAAAAGTTTTTGTTTCTATTCTGCTTCTGTTCAACCATCTAGCAATGCTGCGTTGGCGGGGTGTTCACGACCAATGGTCCCATATGATACCTTCTTCAAACTTTGCATAATCTCTAAATAAATATGACTTGAGGCCGTTTAAAATTATCTGATGGAACAAAGGATTTTTAGATAGTATTTTATCAAACTAGCGTTCCAGTTTTGTATTGAAAATATGGTTCGCAAGGTATTTCAGAGCTTATCCTTGGAGATGTATGGAGAACAGGCTCGCAATTTCTGGACAACTCTGGCCGAGATGAAGAGGCCGTCCTGCCCCCGGGGGTCCAACAAAGGGACACAACAAACGACAGACATTTGGAGAGCAGCTGCCCTAAAAGGTTGTTCCAAGCAAATGAGAGAGCTTCAAGGTTGTGCCTGCGAGCCACAAGAGGAATGCATTAGTGTTAGGAAGAGGTGAGTTTTCCTCGGAAAATGACTTCCCTCGGACATGGTTTCCATCGGCATAGAGGGAATAAGAGTTAATTGCTAACTGGTTGAACATTTTTGTACACCTTGGGTAATCAATAAATCAAAGATATATATAGCCAAAGTGAATTAGTTTCTGTTAATTAAATTGTATTAAAACAAAAGCAGGCAGAAAAGCAAATAAAATAATTTTCTGTGCACCAAAATTAGTGCCCAGCACCGAGACCAGGAGTCTCGTCATCGATGGCTGGCATAATTGCAAGACAGGAATCACATGGGTGGGTCCACTTGGGCGGAGCGGAGTTATTAAATGTGGGTGCTCCAAGGTTAGACTCGATGGCGCGATGGCAGGGCGATTTTCGCCCAACCCCCTGAACTTTGAACTTAATGCACATTTAAATGCTGGCTCTTGGTCGCAGTCTGTTTGGCCAACTTTTCTGCTGACTTTTTAGACTAAAAGTCAAATATTTCATTTGGAAATTCCTAGCGACGAGGCGAGAATGAAATGTGAAATTTTCACCCACGCACACACTCACTCACATGCACAGCCCACATTTTTCTAACCTTGCGGAAAACCGCCCTGAAAAACCACCCACATTGGGTGCTGCTTAAAAACTATAAATTAAGTTTACAACTTTTCCGCAGAAACTTTTTTTATTTTTATTTCGCCCGCTTCGCTGTCACAGTCACTGTTATTTTCGCTGTTCTATCACAGTGTGACAAAATGGCATTGTCAACCCGGAATTGGAATCTCCGTCTTCGCTTCTCCATTTCTCCATTTCTGCGTTTCTCCGTTTCTCCTTATCTCTGACTTTCTCAATTTCTCGATCTCCCTGGAAATATATGTCAAGTGCTACCAAAAGCAACTTTGACATCCATCATTTGGCATCTGTGGCACTTGTTGACCTTTGTTTGCAACACGACACAAACAGGAAGCCGAAGAGAAAACGCTGAGGTGGGGGGAAAATATAGGTGAAAATTGGGTGGCTGGTGTACCCCCACCCATCTGCCAGCTAATCAAAATGTCGCACAAAGTTCATTAACAACATTTTCCAGTCAATTGTCTTGTCAAGCGAAAGAGTAGGGAAAGCTCTGGCAAATAGAGAGGAAAAACTGAGACAGCCAGCACATTTCTGCAGCTGTATATTTATGTTTGCACTTGTCTTGTGGCAGGGGCGTGGCCCCGCCCCCTTTTCCGGGTCGTTGAGGTCGTCGGCGGCTCACTTTGTTAACAACTTGGCATAAAGTTGTTTGTCTTTCACCTCGCCGTGTCGATGACATCACAACGAGGAAGTGGATGAGGAAAATCAGGGAATCGGTGGACAACTCACTGGAAGAATCCAAAGGTATTGCCATGAAACTCCACTAAGCTTAACAAACTTCCCCAGGGGCAAATTTAAATTTCAGGTAAGATATTTAACGGAAATTTCCGGGAAATTCGATTTCCTTATATTTTAAAGGTATTATTTGTATTTTCCTGAATCAATATGTCGATGCTATTATTCTTGTTCTACAAATCTCTTACGTTAAACAACATTTTCGGTATCAATAAAGAAACTGCAATTTTTACCAATAGTTCTAAGCGCTTGTAAAATTGAGGATAGAGGACTGCAATTTATACAATATTCCGCAACAACTTACAGCCCTGTTCACCCATTTTTCCCATGAGGCAAAGCCAACAAATATATCGTTTTCATGTAGTTTTCTCCATTTCCAAATTAAATTTTCCTACGCTTCGGAATCCAGCGAACTAAACCGTCGGCCAAGGGTGTAAAAATCAATCAAACAAAACGGACTGACACTTGGACAGACGATTAAAGAAAATGGAAGAAAGCCCGGGGAAATTCGATATGCAAGTAAACGAAAACCAGACTTTGGGTAAGACAGATGGAAACCTTATGGATGATGGGCTGGGAAAGTTGGGAAATGCTGCGAAAGTGGGGGAAAATAAGTGGGGATTGTGTCATTGTTTCGGTCAAACGCACAACAACAGAGCGTTAAATTCACACAAAACGAGCAAAGATGAGTCCGATTTTGATTCGTAACCGTAGTGCTTGGAAAGCCATTCGACCAGATCCTTGAAATGGTCCAAAAAAGAAAGGCGAATTTAGAGGAAATCTGCCTTGCGAAGGTATTTCAAGTAGGCTTATAAGTTTCTTTCGAGCAATCACAGCTCTTTCTATGATACAAAATTATACATTTCATAATGCCACATTCATTTTTATAATATTCAGAAAGTTGACTATATATTTAAGTTAGTTGGCAACTGATTTTACAATTGGCAAAGGGGAAACTGGCAAGGCGGTGAATTTTTTTGAGGCCCTACCACTTCTTCAGTTTTTCCTTTTATTCAGCAAAGAGAATGGAGAATGTGTGTGTGTGCTAGACCAATATTTTTGTGCAGGCCATTAGCAGCATAGATTATTTTTGCATATCAAATGGCCAAAAGGAGTTTCCCGCAAGCCCTTCCGCTTTTCCCTTTCCCACTCTCGGCATTTTCCGCAGCACTCCAGCCGAGTGAATGAATCCTTCACAGCGGAGGACACGCACAAAAGCGCAAGCAAGGCAAACAGGTCAAGGATATTATGCATATGTGAGTAGGCAAAACGAAACAAAGGGGGTGGTTGGGTGAGTGGTGGGTGGGTGTTTGTATGAGTGGTTGGGTGGCTTGTGGGCGGCTGTGGCTGTGGGCTGTGTGGGTGGTGCAGCAAGGAGTCCCTCATTTTGGCTGTCATTGTCACCATCAGCCGTCTGCAGCGTCATCTTCATCTACATCGTCATTGTTGTTCGCCACTCGAAAGTCGCACAAATGAACGCGTAATTGTTTGCACATGAATACATTGAGTAAATATTTGCAAACACATTCAGCATTCCACCGGTTTTCCTCGCCTCTATGCCCGGACTCATCACGTTTTCCTCGATTTCCCCTCGATTTTCCTACGGTTTTCCTACGATTTTCACCCGATTTTCAACCGG